GTTTTCCACATGGTACAATCCACCCACAGAGACAGACTGGCACTTGTGGACCCATCATGCCCCAAACAGAAAGCTTATTCTGTTATTAGGTTGGCCCCTCACAGTAACCTCAGCACTGTGTTCTTCCCCTGAGTCGGAGCCCCTTTAATCTTGCTGTGGTCTCCTTTCTACAACCCCATACCGGGGCCCCCCAGTTGGGCAGGCAGGCCTCAGCCACACTTCCTTGGGAGAATTACCTGGGCCTAACCCATCACCTCCAAGGTCTCACCTCGCAATCATCTTCCACTTTCTTTAGGGAGCTCCCCCAGTGGTCTTTGATCACCACTTCCTCAGGCAGAGGGGGTAGAACTTACCACCTCCCCAGTCTTCCAGCTACCATGCTTTGATTGACTGATGGTTTTCTTCCTTTTCCTGCCCCCCCCCACCCCTTGTCTTGGGAACTTTGACATTCAAAGGGATGGCCCCTTAATGCTTTTAATCTCTATTTCCCCATGTCTCACATCAGCTCGGAAATGTCCTTGTTTCTGCCTTGCCAAACAAGGCCACCCCTCAGGGTGACACAGCAGTTCTCTCCCTTCCCCATGGCAGGGGCAGGCAGGGGCAGGGGCTCTGGCTCTCCAGGGCCCCCAATGCCCTCTTCCCAAGCCTCTCTGGGCCCAGTCCTTCTCCAGCTCACAGTTCTGGAAACTGCCTCCCTCTCCACCAAACCCTGATGACCCCCACCATCTGCTCCTCCTCCTCACCTTTTCTCAACCTGTCAAGCGGATTGGAGGGAGACCCGAGCATCCCGGGAACATGCTCGAGGAGTTTATTTCTCAGCAACACTTTCCCTTCCAGGCTTATCAGCTCCCACCCCCCCAGGACCGTCTTGGCTCGCTTCCACGTTCCTCCTTCTGAAAGGTCCTGTTCCTTTCTTCTCCTCACGCCTCACACACTGCTCTCCAAAGCCTGGGCTGATGTGATCGGAGGACAAGCAGATGTCCCTGTCTGCAGGGCCCTCCTGGGAAGTCTGTCCTCGGCTGCCCCGAGTCTCTGTGCCTGCCCCTGGCCTGGGCAGTGCTGCCCAGGGATGCCATCCCTCCGTCCACCATGAGCCCCATTTCCCTCCTCTCCTCCTGCTCCAGATCACAGGAGAACTGGTGGGGAAAACGTTGCCCTCTGTTGCATGAATTCATTTTGGGTACTGGGAGCTACTGGCTTTTAAACACAGCATGCAAATGTATGTCAATTTATACACTTATGCAAAGATATGAAAATATGCCTTTCGATTTTCTGGGAAAAGTCTGATCCGTCTACGAATTCCTCCCCTTGTCAGCAGCATTGCTTTGTAATTCCCATCCGTTCAGCTCACTGCATCCTTAATATCTGCCCACGCTCTGCTTTGCCTCTCTTGTCTTGTGCTAACTCATCATTAATATTAAACACGACTTCTCCTCTCCCTTCTCTCTATGTGAATTTAAACACATATATGAAGGCTAAAACTATTAGAAAATTGTCAGTTTTCACAGGGATTTAATTTACGTTTCTCTTGTTACATCTGACCTTCTACTAACTTTAATGAATATCTTCTGCCAAGTCATTATTGCTTGTTAACTATTAATGTGTTTGCATTTCTGCTTAACTCATACCTCGCCTCCAAGCTGGGCCAGGTGATCTGGCACATGCTGCTACTTACAACCCCTAGATGTTGACAAATAATTGTTCCTTACGGAACGAGCACGAGCTCCTGACCGTTCACAGCTCTCCGCAGTCACCATGGGCCACCTGGTCGCCACCTGGATGAGACAACGTGGCTTCCTTCCTTTGAAACAGCTTCTACGACCGACCTCAGCTCCCTCCTTCACAAAGGGCACCAGTGTCAACGCACACACTCTCCCTACTCTGGGTTCCTATGAGCCACCATCGTCTGCAGTGGGTCCCTTCCCCTGGGAGCTCCTTGGTTGGTTCTTTGGTGGTCTCTGGTGCTCAGGTTCTGAAAATTCCTTCCAATGTTGACCTCCTGAGCCTTGGCCCGGGGCAGGCATCCCTGGCCCACCTACCACTTTGCACACTCCTCTTCCTGAGTGCCAGGCAAGTGTCACTGCTCAGCTCCGTCCCCGCCTCCCTAAGTCTGGAGCTCCGCTAAAGAGACCTGTTTCCGGGCACCCTGCTGAGCCCTTCCTCTTCACCTACAGGGTTACAAACCAGTCTGGTTTCCAGGAGGGTAGAGGCAGGGTCTTTCGTGACTCAGTAAGAGATTTTCAGTTTCTGTGCTTAATTTGTGTCTGGTGCTAATATTACACCCATTTATATAGCTGAGGAAACTGAGGCACAAAGAGGGTGAGTAATTTGCCTAAGATCTCAAAGCTAGTGAGTAACAGAACTGGGATTCGGGCCAGGCCTCTCTGGCCTGAAGCCTCCTCCTTAGCCTGCAGAGCGTGTGTGAGGCCATCTTCCTGCCTCCTTCTGCCCAAAGCCACAGAAACACAGCTTTCCCGCACAGCTTGGGGAGGAAAGCAGGAAAGAGATGCTGTGATGTTTCAGGGCTGGAGGGCCTCTGTTCCAGGCCTGCCCCTCCAAGGGCACCAGGAGTTCCCACAGTACCAGTGGGGTTCCTGCCAGCTGTGAGGGGCAGACTGGGAGAACACAGGCCAGTGTGTGTCGTTTATAAGGTCACCAAGAAGGAACCAGCCAAGCCATCCTTTGGGAGTCATACTGATCACAGTCACTGGGCAGCTTCGGACTACAAAAATCTAGACTCCTCAAAATTTGTAGGCTTGTTGGTGTCAAACTGCCTCCAGTCTGAGTGGTTTTTGAATCTAGCAGGATGCACTGAGAAAAATCTTAAGAGTTCATTGTCATTACTATTTTCTACTGGTGAGACCTCCGAAGCAGCCAGTGTCCCTGAGTCAGAGAAGGCTCCCTTGTTGCCCGCGATCCAGCAGGCAAGGGCCTCGCTCACCGGCCCTCCCGTGCTGGGCCCACCACTGTTCCTTTCAGAAAGGAAAGCGTCTCGCATTTGTCAGGGAGCTCAGGTGTCTTGACAAGATCCAAAGGCGAAACCCAAAACTTTCCCAGTGCGATTTTCCTATTTGATCTTTTGTCTCATGTGTTCCCTTTGGGGATGAACGAGAAATACTTCTCTGAATAATTGATAGGCCTCGAGGTAGAAACATGGTGCCTCTTTTAATAAAAAGCCTGGGCACACGGCATTGATTATACCTCTTCTGTGATGCTCTGGAAAAAGCACGGAGATCTCCAAAGTGCTTATAAATTCCTCTTACAATAGGGAGACAAAAATTAAAAGCCATGTAATATTTTTAATCAAACGAACGAATGTTTGGATAATATGCAAAATTATAAAGCTGTATTGAGCTACAAAATATTCACAAAAGGGAACTGAATAAAAAATGAAGTAGCTGTAATTATTATAAGGTCTGACTGATTTTAAAACCTGAAAATGACTGTCCTCCGTTTTCTATTTAATGAGCACTTACTAGGTGCCAGGAGCTCTGCTAGGCCTGTTATGCAAATCATTTCATTCAGTTCTCACAAATGAACGGGGTAGGTCGCAGCCCACTGCACAGAAACATGGAGGCTCCTGGAGGTGAAGCAACAAGCCCATGGTTCCCCAGGAGCAAGGAACTGGGGCTGAGCATGGACCCAGATGTGACTAGAAGACACACACTCTCCCCACGATGCCCAATGCTGAGACCCAGTAGCTACTGCTGAGCTCTTGTACATTTTGCAATATTCCTATGACGAACGGCAAGAGAACGAAGGCTTTGGGATCCTTCGGAGAACATTTTACTTATTCGTTATAAAACCATATCCTCTTAGCCCAGGATGAAAACGCACAGCCCATCCAGTTGAATGTTTTCATTTTACAGGAAGGAAACTAATGCAGAGAGCTTATGGGCTTTTCCCAAAGTTAAAGAGCCAGTGAGTGACGCCGCTGGGGCCACAACCCTGTCCCTGGACTCCTTGTCCAGTACTCGCTTTTCCATATCACACACCCCTGATTATGGACGCTGGGCTCCCGAGGGCGGCTGACAAGGAGGGCACCTCTGGTTCATTACTAGCTTTCCTTTTCTCTGGGTCATTACATCACAGATGTCCTACCACTAAGAAGGAAACGAAAACTCAGCACCTAAGCCTGGCATGCAGGCCCAGAGAAGGCAGACAGCTTTCCCCAGCTCCTTGGCCCTGGTTAGCCTGGGCGGCTCCGTTCAGCCCATCACAGGAAGACAGCAGCAGGCTGACGGCTGTGTGTGGCAGCTGAGCTCAGTGTTCGTTCTGAACAGATGTGGCCCTCTAGAGTGGTAGGTCTGCTCCCCCACCTCACGGAAACCGAGGTGGTCAGGTGGCCGGCCCCAAGCCAAGGGAAGGAGGGGAGCCCCAGATTCTGGCCTGGGCATCCAGAAGAGGGGTGTGTACATTCCCGGAGAGCCACCTTCCCACACAGTGTGGAAACCGGGGTGACTTTCCTGGGTCCTGTCGGTGCGACAGAGCCTGCCGTCCCCTCCTCTGACAGGATGCCCCTGCTGGCCAATGGCCTCGGAGACAGGCTGGAGTCTCCGGCTCTCTCAAGGGAAGAGAGCCCCCCAGTTTGTAAAGTGCTCTGACTTTCGTACTGAAGTCTCCCTGGGGGATGGACACGCCCCAGGGTGGCTGCTACAAGCAGCGCAGAGACCAAGATGACAATGACAGTGCTCTGGGCCACAGGAATGTCCTCATTAAACCCAGAGCCACAGGGTGGCCTGGGCTGCTGGCCAGGAGCCCCCTGACTCAAACTCCCCCCTCACCACACAGGACCCCTGGTATGGCTGCCAACTCCTAGGGGCTCCATTTACACGAGCCACAGCAGGGACAGCGCCCGCTGGCTTTATGCACTGGGGCAGCCTGGCACGCTAACTGCATCTGGCCTTTGGAGCCAGAACAGGGTTTGAGGGCCACGAGCTACCTGCGGCTTCCAAGTGGAGCCCCATCCAAGAGTGGGGGTCCCGCTGGCTGCCACTCACCAGTCGCTGCATGCTCTTCACGTGGGTCGGGCTGATGGATAAGGCTTCTTCGTACCACCGCCGGGCCTCCTCCAGGTTCCCTCGGAGCTCGGCAACCTGGCCGCGCATGTACAGGACGTTGTGGGACATTGGGAAGAGGTTGGCAGCTTCTTGGGTACAGGCTGTGGCTTCTGCAGGCTTCCCAATGCCAATGTAGACTTCAGCTGTGGGGAAGACGGAAGAGGCAGATGCTTTCCTGGTCCGCGGCCCTGCAGGGGCCCCACGAATGGCTGTGACTCTGGTCGGGGACATTTGCGTTCCCCCCACGCGAGTCTGGCAGGGCCCCATCTGGAATACACAGGGCCCAGAGCCAGCCAATCCCCCACCCCGAGTGGAAACAGGCGCAGGCTGACAGTCTTTCACGCCCACTGTTACACAGGCTCTTGAGTCACTCGTACTGCGGGACCTTGAAGGGGACACATGTCACCACCAACGAGAGGGGAGTGAGGCCTGCCTGCGTCCTCCCCCGACCCAGGACCCCCACCCTCAGGACCCACCTAGAACATCTCAGTATCTGGGACACCTGCCCTTGCTCTGACAACCACAGAGAAAGGGCTGGACCTGAAGCCAGAGGCACACAGCCCTCACCGGGCAACACCTCTGCTCTCCAGCCTGTTCCCCTGATGCCACGATGTGTGACAAGGGCAGCAGACTATGGCTTACATGTTTATGGGTGTGAAATAAAATGGCTGCTCCAGCAGATCCTGCCCCCCGACCTGGGAAAGTCACTGCACCCTGGAGACTATTAACTGTATAACATCAAGAGAGCCCTTTGAAAAACCAAGCTGTCACTTTCCAGAAAGCAGGAAAAGGACCTTTCCACCAACCTCAGGCCTCCACCCTCCCAACTCTATGTGGAGAGTCACACATTGCTCTGCAGCCCCGGCCTCCCCGAAAAGGCCCATCACACAGGTCCAAATGCCACCTGTCAGGCACACGCCAGTGCCACCTCTCCTCTTCACCTTGTCGTCACAGCACCACCATCTTCCCAGAGCTGGCCCTGCATCTTCAAGGACACCAGACTCCTCTCCCTGCTCCTCAGACGTGTCTGTCAAGACCACTCACTGCCCAGAGCCCTGCCCGGGTGGCCGCAGTGTGCTGGGCCCACCGACCCTTTCTCCTGCTGCCAGGCCAGCCCCTTCCTCACGTGCTCAGGCCTTGACCACGGGCCTCCACCCCGGCACAGATGTTTGCACCTGTCTCTCCAAGTTACTTATATGCAGTATATTAATATGCTGTGTAGAATATAATGCACACATAGAAACTGCAGAAGAACACAGTAAAGAGAAATAGAAAAGTTTTCCTATTTTCCTCGCGCACCTAATGCGTGTGTCCTGGAGGCAAGGCCTCCTGGAGCCCCCACCTCCGGCCTCGCCTGCCCACCATCTGCCCCACGCAGCTGCTGCCAGGCCAGCCCGAGGCAAAGCTCGGGTTGGGTCGTCCCCCTGCAGAAAAACAAAGCTCCCCATCCACTCAGCACGACCCAGTTCCTTCGCCTGCGTCTTTCCTCCCTGTACCCACTGACAGGTGTATCTTGTCTCATCACAGTCCCTCTAGGACATAAGCCACACGCCACATGAGGGCAGGGAGAGCGTTTATGCTGTTCACTGCCAGGTCCCCAGTGACTAGAACCCTGCAAGGCCCACAGCTGGAGCTCAGGAAATAGTTGCTGAATGAATGAATGAATGATCACAGTAACAATAACAGTGGCTAACATTCACGAAACAGGGCTTTATGCCCAGAAGGGCTCTCGTTTTTCCTTCCCTCTGCACAGTGATCCCATAGGTACTGTTATTTTAGCCCATTATACAGACAAGGAAACAGAGGCCAGAGAGGCTGAGCAGCCTGTCCAAGGTCACAGGGCAAGTTAGGGGCAGAGCCTGGCTCAGAGCCTCCGTTCTTGGCCTCTACAGAGAACAGCATCTCCCCTGCACCAAACAACATCCAGGTCCCTTTGCCTGGGATTCGGAGCCCTCGGTGACCAGTCCCCCCTCCCCCGCTAGCTCGTGTTCCTACTGCTCCCTGAAGCCCCAGGAGCTCCCATGGTAAGCGCTGTTTCCATGCATGCTGCGGTTTATTCTCTGGTGATACCGTCAACCCCTCAACCCCCTTCAAGGCCTAGCTCAATTGTCACCATCCTGGGGCGCCATCTCTGACCCCACCCTCCCCTCAGGGCGCCCAGCCTCACCTCTCTGTGGCTGTGTCCCTGGTGTGTTTTTGTGAGGGTTTTGGGTCTGCTGCTGTGGGTCCATCTTTTTAGCTCCCCATCTCCCACTTGAAGCCCCAAGACTAGAAAAACCCAGGTGGTGTCACAGGCTGTAGTCTGTGTTGACAGTGCTGACTTTCTGACCTCGCCCAGCCTGATGGCCCCTCTCCTCAGTTCCCCGGTGATCACAGTCACACCAATGATGACTCCTTAGGCCAAGAGAAAGCCTTGGAGAATGTGGCCCTGCTGTGGCTCAGGCCCACCCTGCAGCTCCTGCTGTCAGACCTTCCATCTGTCACCCTTCCCCTCAGCAGGGAGCACAGAGGTGACGAGCTGGCCCAGGGCCCTGGGGAGGAGGGGTCGCAGCACCTCTCAGATACGGAAACTCGGGCAGCTCAAGCACATTACTGAGCCCTGACGGTGGCAGTGCCGGCACCGCACCTGCCTCACCTGCTCTGGGGACTCAGCTCCCCTGGCACTGGCTGAGCAGGTACTTACTACACACGGGGCTCTGCAGGAACAAAGGTGGCATTATCTGTCCTCCGGTTTGGGCCCCGGCAACGCCTGCCCTCCTGGGACATAACCCTAGTGACACTGCAGGGCTGGCCGATGTCTTCCAGTCACACAGTTCTCTCCGGGTTCCTGCCGGAGAGTCGGACGTGTGCCCATGGCGGGTTCAGGTTACCTGAGCGCGGCAGCTTCTCAAAGAGCTGTGCAACGCTCCTCTCACTGTACACTTGCTCTTGACTTGCTTCCATTCTGAGGGTGAATTTATGTCGGTTCCCAGGCTCCCCAGGGCCTAGAGCCAGGGCCGTCTGTGGGTGGGTAAGGCGCACCCGGCCTCTCCCTCTGGTCACTACGGGAAAAAGGCCAACTTGAGAGCGCGGGGATTCAATGCTTCCAGGATTTTTGTAACAAGATTCAAGCTCGGGGGTGGGGGCTCAAACACCAACACGACATGTGAGTCCTACGCATCGAGGGCCCTCCGCGAGGACTCCGTGTCTTCATCGGCCACACGTCTGAGCTGTTGCTTCCTTCACGTGATGAGGAGATGGAAGGTGGGGCTGAGCTGGGCCATGACCATGAAGGAGGGAGAAAGATCCAGGCCTCCAAGGACTTCTTATCAGCGGCACGGAAGTCGGAGGAGGAAACCCGAGTCGCTGATGAGGCCTGTGCTCCTGAGGCAGACGGGCAGACAAATGCATGGCCGCCGCTGCTCCCTGTTTCTCCATTTCAAGGTCACAGGCAAGGACATAGGGCACAATGTACTGCAGTGATGTGCAAACCACTTCCCGCGTGGGGCCTGTTCTTTCCGAAGAGGTCTTAGGAGTGGGCAGCCTGCCTCCCCCTGGCGTGGGCTCCTCGGAAGCTCCGCTGGGGACCTCCGGGTTCTCCGGTACCCAGACTGCAAGCCACAGTGTCATGAGAATGCCGAGGGAGTGGTTCCCGCTCCTGGGCCTGCATGTGGCCCTGGGAAAGGTAGTCAATCCCTCTGGGCCTGTTTATCATTGAGGGGGCCAGGATGCTGGCCCCCATCTCTCCCTGGGCAGCGGTAAGGATCGGCCGGGAGGGTGGAAGCCCGGAGCCCAGAGGGGTTGAAAATGGCGAGGGTAAGGCTTAGTCGAGCCTCACCCCTTTGCGGGTGCAGAGTGAGGAAACTAAGGTGCCACGAGGTAAAATGACTCGCGGCTCCATTTCGCTGAGTCTGTATTTGGGAGATGCAGGTCCAGCCTTTCCGTTTTACCAGGGCTCCTTTGAGACAATGGCTCAGAATACGGGCATGTCTCGCAGATATTGCGGCCCGGGTCCCACACCACCGCAATCAAGTTAGTGTCGTAAGAAAGTATCACAATAAAGCGAGTCACACGTTTTTTGGTTCCTCAGGGCATATACAAGTTATGTTTACATTACACTGTAGTCTCGGTTAGTGTGCAGTAGCATTGTATCTAAAATAACAATGTACACACCTTAATTACAAACACTTAATTGCTAACAAATGCCAGCCATCCCCTGAGGGAGGCTTCATCACAACCTTTTCACTGGTGGAGGGTCGGTTGTACCTTCAATTGTATTCCTTCAATTGGGTATTCTCCCTTTATGAGGACATTGCATCTTAATGGGACACAGAGTCTAAAGCTCCAGAAATGAAACTTTAGTGGTGGGATTTCTGAGGTCAGTCAAATCGTTTGGGACGGGGTTGGGGGAGGAAGAGAGAGGAAAGCCCTTCCTGGAAACCCTCAAGGGGCCTTCTCCCCAGGCACACGCTGGCCCCCTAGGATACATCGAGGCTACGCAGACATTTCTATGAGCTTCTGCTATTGGGGAGCCTGCCTTCCTGGGAGTCCATGGCTCACACAAGGACCAACGTCTCTCCAGAAGAGGGTCCCACAGATACCTACCCCTGATCCCACAGGTAGCGGCTCCCTCCTCCTCTGTGTTCCCATAGCACCTGTGTAACCTCTATCATCCCCTCAAACATGTCATCTTTGTGAGGGGACCCTCCAATCTTGCTTCTTCATGTCAGGTGGCCATCTGCCACTGCCACTGCCACTGCCACACACCTGGCCCCTCCACTACCCTCCCCAGGTCCCATCGGATTGATGCATTTGGGAGGAGGACTTGGCCTTGCTCATGGTGGCCCCTCAGAGCTCTCTGTCCAGTGCCTTGTCCCTTGGGTGCCTGCATTCTGTTTGCTCTTACAGGCATGACACTGGGTTTTCCCCCTGCAACGGGGAGGCCAGTCATTTGGGACGGGTGAATTCCACTCAGCTGCGATGCATTAGGGAGCCCAACTGAGGCCAGAAGTCAAGCCACACCCTCCGATTCAGCCTCCCTCGTAACAAAGCTGGGAGTCTGATCGGCATCTATGCCTCTGTCTATTTCTTAACTGGCTCAGAATTCAGGAGGTAAAGAGAGGAGTGTATCATTCAAACTTCCCTAAAGCCTCCAAAATATGAC